AGCCTGATAAATGATTCAGAAGCTTGGGGTCAGAAGCCTTGGGTAGAGATTATTATGTTACTTTTTACCACCCAGGTCCGGCAGGGTCAGCTGAGGGTGGTCCGGCAAGGTCAGATCCTCTCCTTGCCTCCATCTGGAGATAAGAGCTTCATTGCTTCATTTCCACTGGGTCTGCCCTCATCCTACATTCTGTCTGTGGCTCTCTCTCTCTCCCTCTCACCTTTCTACCCTTGTCCCTTGCTCATGCCTTTTCCAAGACCCTGTCTGTGGGAAAGAAGCAGGAATATTTCTTACGCCCAGCTTGTCAGACTAGAGTGGGTAGCTCTGTGGAAACAAAGCCACAAAATTACTCCCGTCTGCAACCTCGCCCACTGGGCCACCTACTCAGCTCTTAAATCCTGCTCTCACCGCTGACTCTGTGCTAACAACCTGGATTTTTAATACATATTTCAAAGTCAAACTAAAGAAATCAACCTTGAAATAAGAGATGTATATTTACTTTAGTGTTTTATGAGCCCGGAGGCAGGGTTTTGGAAAGCAGGTTTCTTTTGCCACATTCGGTGTGATTCAAAGAAGCAGGTGTGATTCAAAGAAGCAGGTGAAAAACCAGGGAAGGTGGGGTCATAGGGCACTCTGTTTTAAAGGGAGGGCCCCTCAGGCATGCTGGGAAGCAGGGTGAGTGGCTAATGACTGAGCAGCTAATGAGAAGGGTGGTGGAGAGGGCACAGGGTGAGAACGCTTCTGAGTGTGCATTTCCTAGAAGTTGTGGAGGACAGATTGCCACTGTCAAGTGCGCTCCTCTTTCTGAGAGAAATTTCAGAGAAGCAAGGAGAGAGCACATGTTTGAGAAAGGGCACTATCTTGGAGAGCATCCAATAAGGCTTCAAGATCTATAGGCAAATTCCATTCTGCAGGTTGGGACCTCTATTACAAAACCTTGTTACTTAAAGAGAGAATGCGGGGGGTGGGGGTGGGGGTGGGGAGGCAATCTCACATTCATAGGCACATGTGATGAAAGCAAGGCAAAGCCCAGGCTTGAAGGGAAGAAAATCTCCTGCACATCCAAGGCACACACTCCTTTTAGCATTTTTCTCTTAATTGTTTCTTTTTTTTTTTTTTACAGATCAACTTTGCCTACAACTAAAAAGTTAATGGTGATGCATCTCCCCTGAATGCTTCTAGGCAAATTCCATTCTGCAGGTTGGGACCTCTATTACAAAACCTTGTTACTTAAAGAGAGAATGCGGGGGGTGGGGGAGGGGGTGGGGAGGCAATCTCACATTCATAGGCACATGTGATGAAAGCAAGGCAAAGCCCAGGCTTGAAGGGAAGAAAACCTCCTGCACATCCAAGGCACACACTCCTTTTATCTTTTCTCTCTTAATTGTTTCTTTTTTTTTGTTTTACAGATCAACTTTGCCTACAACTAAAAAGTTAATGGTGATGCATCTACCCTGAATGCTTCTTCCTAGGATTCGCTGGAAGCCAGCAGTACCCAGAGCCACGCCCGCTGTCTGCATACCCACCCTCCCGGCAGTATTGTCACCAGCCAGGGCTGAGCTGTGCTCGTTTGGTGAGGCAGGGTGCATTGTGTGCAGATGACAGCGCTCTAGAAACAAGTCTACTTTTATTATTTATTTATTATTATTAGTGTCAGGTATATTAGCACAATGGTTAGGCCTTTACACAATTTATGAAGTTATTCCCCCAATTTCCCTTGTACCCATCTGGCACTATACTTAGCTATTGCAATGTTATTGACTGTATTCCTTATGCTGTACTCTAACTCTGTGACTGTTCCGTAACTGCTAATTTGTACTTCTCCATCCCTTCACCTTTTATACCCTTTCCCCAACCTCCTTCCCCTCTGGTAATCACCAGCTTGTTCTCCGTATCTGTGAGTCTGTTTTCATTTTGTTTGTTCATTCTTTTGTTCCTTAGATTCTGCATATAAGTGAAATCGTATGGAAGCAACCTAAGTTCTCATCAAGATACAACTGAATAAAGAAGTTATGGTACATATATACAAGCAACCCTAAGTTCCCATCAAGAGACAACTGAATAAAGAAGTTATGGTACATATATACAATGGAATATTATTCAGCCATAAAAAATGAAATTATACCATTTACTACGATAAGGATGGAGAATATTATGCTGAGTGAAATAAGTTAGAGAAAGGCAACAAGTCCACTTTTAAAGGCAGAAGAAAGGATCTTCTTGTTCACTGCGCAGCATCCAGGGTTACTCTGCCTAGACCTCAATGTCTCATCCCAAAAAGCACCATTTGCCCATATACTACAGCAATAGAATGAAAGAAGCCTGCTCCTTTCAAATAGGAATTTGCTCTAGTTGGAGGGAATATGATGAGCCAAGTGAGTAGAGAGAAAACAATTCAGGCCGAGGCTCACTTCCTTCTGCAGGACAGAAAAAACGAGTTAAAGGAGCAAGTTGAGAGGATGATATGGATATGTCCTCTCCATCGACACTCCTCCGCTCCTGATCCCATTTGGACCTGGGGCCTTAAATGCCATCTACACACTGACGCTCAAATTGACATCTCTAGACCAGACCGGATCTGCTGAACTCCAGAGTCACACAGCCTACTAGCTAGTCAATACCTCCATTTGCTTAACGAGCATCTCAAACTTAGCATGTCCAGAATTAACCACCAATCTGCCTCCCCAAGCCCCAACGCAAGGCCTACTCCATTCCAATCTGCAGAACAGCATCCCTTCTAGGATCTAAACTTTGCAGCCATCTTAGACTCTGCTTTTTCTTTCACCCCACGTGCAACCTATCAGTGAATTGTGTTGTACTTTTAATTAGATCTGGAAGCAGATCATTCTCACTCCTTATCGTACAAGCCATATGTGATTATTAATATTAAAATTCAAGTTAATAACAATTAAAAAATTGAAACATGAAAAACGTATGTCTCAAGTGAGAACTCTTAGGAAAATTATAGCAAAAATTAAATTTAAAAATTCAGTTTCTTACTCACACTAGTCATATTTCAAGTGCTTACGGGCCACATGGCACAGTACGGTGTGGATACAGAATATTACCATCACTGGGGAGGGCTCTCTTAGTGCTGCTCACTCCTTTTATGATGACTACCCTAGTCTCAGCCACTAACATCTCTTGCCTGGATGATGTGATAGCCTCTTAGTTGGTCTTACTTCCTCAGGCTTCGCAACACAGCAGCCAGAGTAATCCTTTTGAAACACCTATGCTCAGAGATGTTGAAAAGCTCCCACATATGTTTCTCAGAGAAGAAGCAAAGTACTCAGAATGGCGAGCAATGCCTTACTAGCTCTGGTCACTTTTACCTATCTCACCTCGTCTCCCAGTCTTCTCCTTGCTTTCCCTGCCACAGCCACACTGGCTACCTGCTGCTCCTTCTCAAGTCTTCAGTACTAGCTGTTCCTTCTGCCAAGAATGCTTTTCCCCTAGATATCTTCATGGCTCACTCCCTCTCTTCCTTCGACTCGCTACTCAAACATCACCTTCTCAGTCAGGCTTGTTCCGAATGCTCTGATTAAGTTTTAACATCTCCCTGCCTCCACCACCTTTCCCAGCCCTCCTGCTCTCCCGCACCATACCCAGCTTTACTTTTTTTCCCTGTAGTACTTATCTCCTTTCAACAAACTAGATACATTAATAGTTTATTATACGTCTTGTTTACTGTCTGGCAGAGATCTTTGTCCATTTACTCACTGATGGAAAGCTGGTCTAGAGGAGGCTTTCAATACATATTTGTCCAATAAATGTATGGTGTTTTAGAGCTGGAAGGGGCCCTGGAAATCATTCTTGGATGGAGCAGTTGAGGGTCAGTGAGGTGAGGTTATTCACTGTGGACCCATGATAGGTTCAAGGAAAGAACTTGGACTAAAAGATGGACTGACCCTAAGCATTTAACTGGGCAAGCCTCATGAAAATAAACTCCCTTTTCTCTTTATCTGTCACAACCAGAGGGACACTGACCAACAACAGAGAGCTGATGGGGACAACCACCTAACTAAAATGTCAGAGATGTTTGCCACTTTCTTCTTGGTAAACCTTGGCAGAGTTCAACCATTGATCCTGCTTCTTAATGGCTGGTAGGAAGCAAGGAGCAGAGTGAAGGCTCAGATTAATGGCTATTCATACATGCCACTCTTATGCCCCTGTGTCACAAATGCAAGACACTTGGAAAACTGGAAACACACATGGTGGCTAAATTACATTTTTCCCTAAAGCAACATATCAGTCTTGTTTTAAAAAAGAAAGTCATGGTTTCATCATATAATTGCTAAGTTAGTATTTGAGAAAAAAAGTAGGTTAGTATGAAAAGAACAACTCTCCAATACATCATTAAAATATTTCTGACAATCCAGAATAGATTAGAAGAAAGTCAGACTCCAGATCACATTTTGTGTTAGGGGTACATCTGTCCTCTTGCATGTGTAAGGAATTGCCATCTGACTATACATATTTTTAAATGCCTCAGGATGATGATTTTTCTACTGCCAATTCTGATTCAAACAGAAATAGTGTGAGGGAGTTTTAACCTCATAAACAGACCTATTCATAATGGCATGGCTAACAGATCCAGAGCTACACAGCACGGTACGAGCAAAGAGCCTGGTAATTCTATCCATGGCTCACTGCATAATTTAACTTGCCAAAGTATGTAATTAAGAACAAAGTTATCTTTATAGTCATTCCTTCATTACTGAGATAACTCAATTGGAGACTTTTTGTGAGATGCCAGATTTAGAAATAAAATCTTTACTGACTGCACTGCAATGTCATGAAGATTATACCAGAAAACAAATTGATGCACGTAGAACAATCTTCTGTATGTGCCAGAAAATGCGATCTCAGAGGAGGGATATATAGCTAAGATGTAAAATAAGTTGGGGGAGAGGTGGAAGCAGAGCACAGTGAAAGGTTTAATCGGCAGCTTCCACAAGAGAGAGGAACTCCGAACGTCCATTGTGCTCCCCGTGCGTTACCTGGGGTGGCGCTCTTCATTGTTTTCACTAATTTGCCCCTTCCAGCTCCAAAACCATTATTTCCATAGTCCGGGTCACTGTCACTACCACTGCCACCGCTGGCAGAGTACGAACGCATTCTGGGTACCTTGTCCTAAATGGGTAATATGAGACTGTTAAGATTATTCATGCAAATCAAACTTGGGCAGAAAATCCTGTGAGGATGTGAAACAATTCCTATTTGGCTGTTGCTTGTGTACACAGAATGCCATGCCCACTGCCCCACCCCCAAGAGCAACTCAGCTCGGCCTGTCGTCTGTCTTCGGAGCTGGCGCAGTCCACTCAATTACCAGAGCTACAGAAACAGGCTTGCACTAATGAAGCCATTGCCCATACTCTGCCATTGTCCCAGGCATAGGAAAGTCCCCTATTACCTGCTCTGAATTTTGTACACTTTTTTATAGGGTCATATTTTTCTCAAGTGCCCATTACAGCTGCTGTTCCAAGCCTAATGGCTTATTTATTTAACTGATCTCATCATTGGCTTTCAAGTATTAGAGGGTATGAAAAAATCAACCTTGGGAACAAAAAAGAATAAATGTTTGCGTAATTTATAATTTTCTTCCAGCTCCTGAAAGGATAGGAGCCTTTAGGAAAGTATACAGTTGCTAACCCTATATAATCTTCAAATCTACCGATAGTTCACAGGTCCAGGGACGCAATCTCCCCTTTTGCTCCGATGCACACTCAGCCTGACCCACCAGGATGTCACTGGTGTGGCGATCATGCAATGTGCAGGAATTGCTGAAGATGGTTGAAACTCAATGAACAGTTTTTACACAAGCAGAATACCGGATCTAAGACTGCAACTCTCGTGTTTGGGCCTTTCTTTTATGTTCGCAGACTGCCCTGTCAGAGCCAATTATTTCCCATCTATCCCAGACGGTTCAGGCACAGATGTATAGGATGGGTCTCTAAAGGCCGTTTGGGAGAGTACCATTTGGTTGGAAATTATAAAAATACATTTCAGAGTATAAGCTTTTTCAGCTGGGGTTATAAATCCAAGCACTTACTCATTTCTATTATTCCTTCATTCACTTACTCATTTACCCACCCATTTAACAGATGCTTATTGAGTATGTACTCTGTGCCAAACAGTATGTTAGGTTCTGGGAGTACAGAGCTCAATACAGGAGATACGAGTAGTCTAGCAAGGATGATGTCCATGAAGCATGACAAGTCTACTGGCTATGGTTCCAGGGGTGCCCCATGTCTAGAGTCCCTGCAGGACCCCAGTAACAATTCTAGGTATGATGAGATGCATTTTTCCATCCCTCTATTCAACAAATATTAATTGAAATGGGCGCTGTGCTGAGTACTGAAAATATAAAGCTAATTCTTGCTTCAAACTTTCCCTCCCTGGCAGTCAATGAAGCAGAGTTCTAAGTTCCAAGCCACAGTGGTGATTCTTACAAGACAGGGCAGGATTTCCAATGGGCAGAGCTGGTGGAAGATGATGAGGAAAAGGACCCCAGAAAGGTACATGTTTTGGGGGATGTGAACGTTGGATGAGGAGCGCGCTGCCATCACAGGTAGAGGGGACATATCCCTCCTGCTCAGCAGTGAGTAATTCTCTTTCTTGGAATTACCCAAACCTCTTTGCCACTGTCATCATCTGTTGTTTCTGAATGATTTCCTAGCTCAATTTTGGGTGTCTTTTAGGAGTTTCTCCATAATGTTGGGATTGGGAGAGCCAAGGCAGCAAAAGCAGAAAGGGTCAAGGAAGGGCTGAGAAGCTCTGGTAATTGATCCCTACATCCTTCCTCTTGCCCTTCTTACTGCTGGGCACCAACAAATACCCTGAGGTGAGCCAGCACCAGGACAAGTTGAGGGATAGTGAACAGGTTGACTATGGCCCAAGTAATTAGCTGGCATTGGTAAACAGGATGGGGTGCAGGAGAGAAAAGCAAGTAACCCGAGGAATGACTTAAGAGTCCCTGAGTCATGAGCCCCTCCCTAGGTCCAGGTGCACACCAGGAGGCCTGTGTGTGCCATCTCAGGGTAGATGAAGAACCCAAATGATAAGGATAGAAGAAATGAGGGTCTCACTGTCTCTGACAAGTCGTTTGACAGTCTAGGGCTCAGTCTATTCATCCCCAAAAGGAGTCTAATTATACCTGCTTTACCTATCTCATAGGAACAAAGTAAAGGTTAAAGTAACTGAGGAGATAATGAAAAAATATCATCAAATCACTTTAAATGGGGGTCTTATGACTTGGGAGAGAGAATGCCTGTTCTACAACGTCTTACCAGGGCAGAGTATCCACACCTCGAGAATCGTGGTGCAGACTCATGGAAGCACTTTGAATTCTGCTCCAGAACCTATGGTGTTACTTAGTAATTCAGGAAAAAAGGTGAGCCTCGAGCCTGGGCTTTTAGTTACTGAACGGACAAAAAAAAATTTGACTTAAATCAATCACAAAAGTGTTTAAGGAGTTCACCATCAGGATTAACAGGTGGAAGGCGTCTTCCTGTCGGCCATCCCTTACCTGGGCCTCCCCAGAGGGGTCTTCACCTCCCCAGTTTTGAAGCAGCTCCCTTTCCATTGTGTCTTCAGCATATTTGAATGACGAACAAGTCTGAGGCCTTGGCTCTGCTTCATTCTGCATTGGGGAATTGATTTTTCCTAAATGAGGAAATGTATATAAAAATCATAATCGGTTTTTTTCAACTCTTTACAAGTTCAGGTAGGAGGATGGAGAAGAAAATCAGAAATAATAAGAAAAAGTCCAAATAGGATGAAAGCTGCTTTTCCTAACATTCTGTCCCCTGCAAGTCTGTGCTAACAGATGCAGTTGAATTAATTATGTATAGCCATAGAGGATGGCCACCTTGGAGGCCTGAAGGCAAACTGTCCTTGGACCACTTTTCCACAAAACATCGATAGTTTTTTCATATGAGAAAAGGTTCAGTGGGCAAACTGGGAAACATTGATTATTTCTCGAATAGTGCTTGTCATCAAATAAAAAACAAGTTTCCTTGTTTAGAGGGTTTCTCAGAGCCTTCATGGTGCTAATGGGAATTGTCATAATTTCTAAAGGGAGGATGTAAATTTTCAGCCTTTCCCAAGTGTATTTGAGAAGGGGACCCTTATTTTCCTAAAATACCTGTGAAGGTCATTTTAAATAATGTGGCTTGGGAAATTTTTCTCAGAGGCCCTTAGAGACCTTGCAGGGTAGTACTTCTTAAGCTCTGATATGCATGTACATCAGCTGAGCTTTTGTTAATTGCAGATTTTTCTTTAGTAGGTTTGGGGTCTGAGATTCTACATTTCTGACAAGTTCTCAGATGATGCCAATGATGCTGGCCCACGGATCACATTTTGAGTAGTGAGGATGTAATTAACAGAACGATTAAAGGATGTTCCTCCATTACCCACAATAGTAGATTAACGTGCAAAGTATATTCTTTCTCACGCCAGAAAGGAGAATTGCTGTTATTATCCTCCAGCCTCAATGATTATCAACAGGACGTGCTGTGATAGCCTCTCAACAGCATTTTGCTGTGAGCAGAAGCAAAATAATTATATTTTCATCAACAGTCTGAGATTTGCACAGTTATTTCCATTTTTGATATGAGGATAAGAGAAAAAAACAATTCAAATGAATACATTAAATAGAAAGTGACTACTCTAAACCGTTTGCCTTTTGTTCCAGCTAATTCCCCATTTCTGAGTTTTTAAAATGAGTAACCAATGGCCACAGAGAAAAAAGAAGCCTTGGAAAGATGGCCCTGCCTCTGGAGCAGGTGTCTCCAACTTCAGATCGGTACCGGTCAGCGGCCTGTTAGGAACCGGGCTGCACAGCAGGAGGTGAGAGGCAGGGAGTGAGAACAGCTTCATCTGTATTTTCAACCGCTCCCTAGAGCTGGTATCACTGCCTCAGCTCCATCTCAGGTCATTAGGCATTAGATTCTCACAGAAGCACCGGTTCCTGGGGCCAAAAAGGTTGGGGACCGCTGCTCTGGAGCATGGTCACAATATCATTTGGTGGACAGAAAGCTTTAGGATGGGTGACACAAAAAAATTTCCTGCAGTGTGTTGACCTCACTCTCTACCATATGCTATTTTTTTTACAACTCTTCATGACAATTTAATTAAGGCACAAACCTTAGAAAACCGGTGCAGTGAATATTAGCAGCAAGATCAGAACAATCTCCTTCCTATCCCCTTCCTATGAAGCAATTCAAGGCTTGCGGTTTCTATTCAATTTGTTATAATGACAGTGTTTAATCATGGAGTCTAGTCGGCAACTTGCCGCTGAATTGAGGCCACACATGTGACTATTCAAGCATGGGGCACATAATCTATAACTAGGATTTCACCCCTGAATCTCTGGAGGCTGTGTCATTAATTAACAATGCATTTATTTTAATACGCATTCCAGCTTTCTAAAATGTAGCCTTGGCTTGAAATGAGCAGAAGTTTGTGATGAAACATTCATGGCAGTTAGTATTACGGTATGAGGGAAGAACTCAGCCCTGGGGATAGCCCAATCACGGTTATTCGAAGATGTTTAATTAAAAGTCTTCTAATTTCTCAGAAGTCTATAGTATAATCTCTACTTGTGGCTTCTTTCTAATCATCAAATCATAAATGAAAGTCTTTAGAGTCCTATTTTATATGCTTATGTATGTCATAAATGCAACATAAACCATACAAGTTAAAATTTATGTAGTGCCATCCTGAGCTGTAAAAAATAGTTTTAATCTTGAAGGAACAATAAAAAAAACTTCGACCCTTAGCCCGGGCCTAACTTTAATCATGAAAGCTCGTTTCAGTTGACTGCAACCAAAGATAACACTTCTCGGTGGGAAGGCTCTCTCCATTCTGTTGCAGTTAATGCACAGTCTACTGCTGACGTTTCAAACTAAGTTTTTTATAGTTCGACATATAAATATATTTGAACAAGATAGGATTATGTCAGAAAACATAGGTTTCTCACTGGACGGCAAACAACATTTCAGTTAAATTTATGTCTTGAACCTAAATTGGTTTATATTCAGAGTTAAGTTTAAAAGATCAAAGCAAAGCCCCATGTGTATGTCGTGTTTTTTTCCTTAATCAAATTATATACTATATACCTGTGCTTACATGCTTCTTTTATATATGTATACACTCCTTAATATAATGTCTTAAGAGTAGACAATGTTTACTGCTTTTTACTTTTCTCTTGAGGACATACAGAGATTTTCATGCATCTACATTTCTACTGGGCAGAGGTCACTCACTGACCTCCTGGTGGAAACCTTTTCTACTGCTTGTTTCCTATTTTGTTAGCAAGTGCATTATTTGGGTGAGAAAACAATCTAATTTGGAAAGTAACAGGCGTTTTACCTGAGGAGGCTGGTTTTGGGAGGCGACTTTGAAGAGGTCGCATCCCCCTGGCAACCATGATGGGGTCAGATGTGGAATGAACAATGGCGGTGTCTGCCAAGCCCTGGCTATCAGCTGAGGAAGGCACTTCTCGTTCAAGGGTCTGGGCTCTGATGGAAGGAGCTGCGCAAAGGGCTGCAGGAGACAGAATGGGCTCAGTGTCCTCTGTGGAGTCTGCTTGACACAGGTACCGTCCCGTTGAGCGACTCCCCGCGTCTGGGAGTGGGAAGGTTCCGATCCCACTGTCCAGTGTTCTCATCTGGCAGTTTGATTCTAGACACAGAAACATAGTAAGGATCAGAGATGGCTCTCACAGAAAGATAAAAGGGTCATAGGCATTTGGATCTGATCTGGAGGAGAGGGGACATCTAGAAGGAAGAAATCCGATTCGTGATATAGTAAATTTCCAGAAAGTGGCATGAAACCGACATTTAATTGAACATGAAAACATTCCCTTCACATAATATAAGGTAAGAAGTCCGGCAGTTACTGACACAAAAGGTACATGTGCAATATATACTCTGAAAGGCTCTCTGGAGCTATAACAGAAAAGAAACAGTCATTAGAGAATAAAAATTATTTTTGATCACCCTTATTTCAATTGGGAATCATGTGACTTCAACCAATTAAGTAAAATTTATTAACTAAAAGTAATAAGCATATCTAACAAATCAATGTCCTAACAAAGATAATTGTGCATTTCTTGCATGATTCATCACTCATTCTGTTAAGTCTGTGACCTCTCAATTGGACTATGAGGACAAGTAATTCTATAAGGGTCATCCCGAAAGTTACCTTATAGCTAGGAACGTCATTTATCATGTGGGCTTCATTTGACCCAATTGCCATTTGAAGTCTTATTGAGAAGACTATAAAGCTATGTTCTTTCACTTTACGCAATGACAAAACTCATCAGTACTTTTTGGATTTCTTGTCATTCCCAGGGATTCCACTAGTCCCTAAAACAAATTAAATTGATTGCACCATACTTGTGCGAAATAGTCTGCTAATGATATCTCATTAGCTGAAAAAAAATATTACATATTTTTTATAACTGAAAAAAATAACTGAAAAATAATATTACATATTTAATTTCTGAAATGGTGGTATGGTTTATCCAAGCCAATGAGACAGCTCCCAAGATCCGCTTGTCACTCCAAAAATCTCCTGTTTATATGCAAATCTTAGAATGAAACATCCTTAGTAAAGTTTATATCAGCATCTTTTAAGTTTAGGACTAAGAAGTGCAACTCAGCACCATGTTAGATGCTTTGGGGAATATAATAGGATATGAGTAATCCTTGTATCAGTTGGCTCAATAGCTAACATTTCAGTAGTGCTTCATGGAACAGTGGCTTGGACTGTGGTATCTGCCAATAACTAATTATATGAACTCTTGCACAAGACCTGTGATCTCTTGAGGTCTCAGATTCCTTATAGGGTTGCTGTGAGGATAAAAATATGTTCATTATCAAATCTCAAGAATTTAGAATGACACCTAGCATAGCTGAAAGAATGAAATAATGAATGGCAACATATACAAAATGCTTAGTATATTTATTAGGTATTAATAGATATATGATAGGTAAATAGTTTATCTTTAAGTAACTTTCTTATGCAATCTCCTTTTATACTCAGCAATTAGTATTTGAACTTCAGAATCTGCCCCCACTCCTATCCCTGGACACCTCTTTGCTCTGAGTGACTAGTAGAAATCTGAGAGTTTTCTAATACTAAGATAAAAGCAAAGGGGCTGCATAGAGAGTTGGCTTTTGTAGATTCTAGTAAGTTTGGTGCTTAGTTTTGAAAGCACTAGAAAAATGAGGTCCCTGTTAAAAGAGTGGCTTCAGTCTCTAAAGGGATATTTAGTAGGGGCATGGTAGATAGCCCCTCTACAGTATGGTACCATTTAGCCATCTCAGGTACTGTAGAATATCAGAGACCGGTCAAGGACTGCAGGAGCCCTGAATCATATGGCTATGGTCTGAGATCTTTCCCAGGATCACGAGGGCTAAGTTTTAGCCCCATTCATTTCAGGGCTTCCACCTAGTCAGCTTTACTCTCAACCAGCTTTACAGATTATTTGTCTTCTCTATTCATTTCCTCCTAATAAAAGAGACTTAATTGTTACAGAATGGCGTTTTTGAGAAATGATCAGCTGTTTGCATGGGGAGGTGTTGCCAGGAGAGTTCAAAAAGAAAGATCCTGTTATTCAGAATTCAGTGTCCTTTCTTCATTTTAGACTAGATACACAACACTCAGATTTAGCATGTCCACGCGTTGTACTTGGTGCAATTCTAAATGTCTGAACTATTTCAGTTTCACAGAAAAGTGAATCTTCATCAGGACCAACCTAGTCTCTGAGGATAGGAATCAAAGATTCATGGCTGTAACCTAGTCTCTGAGGATAGGAATCAAAGATTCATGGTTAGTCCCTACATGCCAGGGCTGCCTGCCATAAAAATTTACCCCAATGCACCTTAAGGACGGCCTACCCCTGAACCAAAGAGTGCTCAGCATGGAGGAACGTTGGGGTATCTTCTCTTTTTATGAAGATAGATTATCAAGTTTGGCTGCTTATTACAGCTACTAGAAGCTCACTGCTTTCTTTGTAACATTTCTCTATTTTCACCACCTAAAGGTAAGAGCTAATTTTTTCCATTTACAAATGAGGAATACTAGCTCAAAAAGTTAAATAACTTGCCCAAGGCCATATGCTATAAAGAGCTTGGATTTGAATCTAGGCTTGCCCTACTGAAATGACCAGGTGCTTAGCCACCAAGCTAAATTGATTCCCTCCAAAAGCACAGGTAAATCCAGAAATGGGGTCCACTCAGTTGATAGCCACTGAGGCAGCCTTGTAAGCAGAAGACTCACAGAATGGTCACTGTTTCTTGGCAAGGTGCCCAACTTCTCCTCTGAAATTGGTGCAGGCTCCTGAATTTTAGCTGATTCTCATGCTCCCTATCCTGAGGTTGGAGTCTACAGTCAACAAGTCCGGCATCTAGGCAGGTGCTGCCCCTACTCAGGATGACTATGCACCCTGATCTGCATGGTTCTTGTGAATCACAACTGCCTAGTAACTCTTCCCTGTGCCCTCTTGGATTGTATCTGCAGACTTCCATGCAGCAATTTTTCTGACATTTATTTCACCTCTCTGGGCAATGATAAGTATTGCCTCCATGAGCAATGTGTTTCTGGCTTTGTCTAAGAACTCTCTCTTCACCAAGTATTTTATGGTTCAGAGAGCACTTATGCCAGTCCTCTCCAATGGAGGCTCAGAAAACAGAGTGAGATTATAGGTTGCCTTCTGAGGAAAGATCCTAGACAGCAAAGCCTGTGTATGTTGGCCTGGCTTATCACACTAGGCAGGAAATGCGCGAGGAGGGATCTGGGGTAGAAAAAGTGATGAAGGATGTCTATGTCTGATATCCTTCTGAGAACAACATTTTCTGGTATCTGTCCCTTTAAATTATTTTTCTTTTCCTTCTTTCCCTTCACATTAATGTCTGCGGAGGGAGGAGCTGGGGTAGAAAAAGTGATGAAGGATGTCTATGTCTGATATCCTTCTGAGAACATTTTCTGGTATCTGTCCCTTTAAATTATTTTTCTTTTCCTTCTTTCCCTTCACATTAATGTCATACCAGAATGTATAAAACAAGATTTTTGGTATTCCTGACTGCTCTGATTCTCTGAGAATTGTGTGCACTGACATTAAACACAGAAACCAATTGCTATTAAAGCCATTTTTATTTCTAAAAATTATAGTTACCAAATGTAGTGAATTTGAGGGACCCATTCATAAGTACCTATGAAATGAGGTGTGGACAGTCAGGAACTCAGGCACTGTATGTCAAGTTTCACCCGCAAGCAAATTTCTCCAGAATGCATAAACCTTTGGAAATGGAGCTTATATTGAAAATGCTGACATCTTCTTTATGTAGTTTCTTCAAGGCACTATAAGTTTCTCATAGTTAATAAAAATATTAACCCCTGAAGAAGGGTTAGATATTGTAATTCTGAAGCCAGCATTTTCCTCAGAGAATTATAAGAACTCACAAAATAATTAAATGGCTGTAATAGGAACAAAGTTCAAAGCAGCAAGCCAGTCTTGCATCTCAAATGAATTGATTCGGTCTTGATCTTGACAAGTTTAAGTTCACATTTGTGGCTAGGAGAACACCTGCTAATGAGTTCAAGCTTTAGGTCACTGAATGGACCAGCAGGTTTCATTCTTCTAAGGTCACCAGTTATGTCTCTGACTCTGGTGAGCCCTCCCACCTACTTCTCATTGTCCTATTTGCCTTCTCTCTATCTCTTAAGGTAAGTTCTCACTTATCACCAATTATCTCCAAATATTTCATGAGATGACTTAGCACACTGTCTCCCAGTCCTTTTAAAGTCGTGGCACACATAGAAAATACAGGGCTCAATGAGGAAAACACCAGCTGCCCCAGGACCACTGGCCACCTGAGAGCTGAGGGCTCAATATCTCAGCACAACTGGGATCCATTCAGGGCATGTCAACAGCAGAATGCTACAGACTTTCTTACTTCCAGAGTGGACTCAGGATCTTCTTTAACTCACAGCTCGAATACATTACCGTGCATATCTCTGGTAGGCAAGGAGACAGATACCTTTTTAGTCTCTTAGCAGCCAATATGGGAATTTCTAAGCCCTCGTTTTTTAGGAAAACTGCTGAGAGTGCATGGATTAGGAATACTGTCTGGCATTAGAGCTTCAGTAAAGAGGGAAGTTATCGTGTCTCAGAGGGAGATGAGCAGCCTGAGTGTTCGCAGCCAAAAAGAGTGAGGATCTGTTTGGGTAGGTGGGTGGATGGCAGAGAAGAAATTTTAGAGACACATTTCCACCAGGGATTTTTCAACTGTTAACTTAGGGTGCTTAATATAAAATCCCCACTCAGCTCATCAATGAGCATCCTCACTTCTGCTCCTTGTACCAGGTACCTTAGCAGGTGGCTTTAGTTTCCTCATCTTAAAATTAGATCATATAACTTTCATCATGGGAGCGCTTTGAGGACTAGAAACAAAGCACGTAATAAAGATAGCATGATGCCTCGAACAGGTATATAGCTATTATTCGGAAAATGGCAATAATTCTCAAAACCAGTGTTATTAGACTGTTAGCACTCTAGGGGCAAACTAAATTTTATTCCTCTCTTTAGTAGCCCCATACCATCCCATTCTTGAGTCTGTATTACCCTTATTCTATAGTAGTAATTATTTGCTGATAGAGCTGATCATAATTATAAG